CACCCACATCATTGCATATTAGGGTAGCATTGCTTTTGTGATTTTGATCTTTGTTTCAGGTCAAGTTTTTATAAGTTTCAAATCTTTGAACTGACCTCTTTTTAGATTCGCATCAGTTTCATCTTTATAGTGTTTGACTGGTGAAGTTGACTAGACAACGAATCAAGATTTGCATCAACTTCATCATAATATTATTTGTATAAGTTGATTGGATCTCGGTCCTACAAGGTGAAAAGCTCAGGAGAAGCTGCCACTCAATGACGACGGAAGGAGTCTATCTCGTGAAAGGCAAGGTTGCACAAAGGTACAAGTTGGTCCATAGATAGGGATCTAGAAATTGAGCTTGTGTGGTTACTTTGTAAGAATCTTGATTTCACTAGTGGATTGGACTCAATGGAAAGTCCCCAGTTTTTTAAACCAGAGGTGGGTTTTTCCAGCCAAAAACATCTCGTGTTATTTATTGCTTAACGAGTTTACTTATCTTCCTTTTGGTTGTGATATATATTCTTCATTACCCACAAATAGATATGTCCTTGCAACTAAGCTTGTCAGTATTAAAATGAGCACTAAATTGGATCTTAGTTAACTAGGAACTTTATAGTAAATTGAACTTTAATTTGACTTCTTCCGCTGTGAGTAAACTAACATATCTGAGCTTAGTGGATGAGTGTTGCTGACCAGTCAAACAAGCACATATACAGATTGTAAATTGCAGGTTATTCACATGATACCAATTTCATTTTCCCTCTGTTGCCACACCTCTCTCCCTCAGTTAATTTATAAGGCCACAACAACTATTTAGCCATATATGAATGGCATATTTTTGTTTTGGACTTAATTGATGATATTTTTTTTTTTAAATTAAGCATATGACAATGATGAATGCTACATGGGCTTTAAGTCATTGTAACAATTAGAACTTGACTTTTCTATCATTCTCTCTCTATTTTTCTCTTTCAATGTCACATAGGCTTTAAGATATTATAAATAGTTAGAACTTAACTCTGTTATCCTTCTCTCTCTTTCTCTTTCTCGTGCCTTTCGTTTACATGGAGGAGTCTGCTTAATTCATGGGTAGGTCCTTAATAAAGGAGTCATCTTAGTGATTCTGTTTCAGCATAAGGGTGGTATGAGTTTGATTGAATAATACCTTTATAAATGAAATCATGAAAAATGGTTACGAGACAAGGGCGGATTTGGCTAGACTTCCAAGAGCTTGCCAAGAGAGAGATTGTGAGATGAGAGACTGCAAAGTTCTACGGCCTGCAATTGAGAACTAAGAAACGGACACTGCGTTGCAGTGTCTGAATCCAAATGTAAAAGTCGAGCCAGAAACAGACAATGCATTGCAATGTCTAAATCCAAATGTAAAAATCATAAGTTGCGTGAGGTGTAAATCATATGAGGGGTGTGAGTGATGGAAAAAAATGACATCAGGAAACAAACACAGCAACACACTGTCTAAGTCCAAAAATGACATCAGGAAACAAACACAGCAACACACTGTCTAAGTCCAAAAATACAAATATAATAAGGAAATAGACATTGCATTGCATTGTTTGAATCCAAAAGTAAAAAAACGAAAAGAAAAAAAAACGTGTGAGTGATGGAAATAAAAAAAAAAACGAAACTACGAAATGGACTCTACAACATAGCATTTGAATCCAAAAGTAAAAAATAGAACCAAGAAACGAAGACTGAATTGCAGTGTCTAAAACTGAACATAAAAATGGACATGCAGGAGGCGTGTGAGTGATATAAAAAAGGAAACTAGGAAATGGATAATGCAATGCAGCGTCTGAATCCAAAAATAAAAAAGGAACGGGGAAACAGACACTGCATGTAGTGTCTGAATTCGAGTGTAACAATGGAAATGTAGGAAGCGTGTAGGTGATGGAAAAAATGAAACCAGGAGTGGACACCACAACGCAATGTCTGAATCCAAATGTAAAAAAAAAACATAATAAAAACCATACACTACATTGCAATGTTTAATCTGTATTGACATATTTCAAAATATAAAAATAAAAATATGAGAAAGGGGGTGTTAGTTGTTGTGGGTGCTAGCTGTAATGGCAAATTTTGTAATTTTAGATTATTTTAAATGCATTTAAGTATCACAATGTATGATTATCCTATTTATGATTAACAAAAATATTGTTGATATATTATTAATAGTATAACTTCTTATTGATTTTATACAAAATCACCCTTTTAAACATATTTGTCCTTAACGGTAATTGAAAACAAGGTAAAAGATACCAAATATATTGTAATGTTAGTTGGTTGTAGAGATAAAATAAGTGGGTTTGACTAAAATTTCTCAATTTTATATAGGTGTATTCAATTAGGAGTTTAAAGGATTTTAACAAAGTTTACAAATTCAGAGAAATTCAATCAAGATTCATGACTTAAAAAGAATCCAAGGAAGTCCATTGGTATTCAATTAAGATTTTAAATAACCATAGGAAGCCAGATGTATTCAATCAAGATTTTAAAAATAGTTTATAAAACTAAATGTGTATTCAAATAGGATTTGATCTAAAATTATTTTCAAAAGTGAAGGATTTTGATGAATTTTATTCTTTTATAGTGTTTTTAGGAAATTTTATTTGGATCCAGTTGTCTTATCTCTACACTCAACTAAAACATTTTCTCTACTAAGCTTCCATGTTTGCCCTTAAATGAATAAGAAAATAAACATTGCTGTTTTTATTTCTACACCCAATAACTCAAATCCTAGCACACCATTGCACTCTTTCATTATTTCCGGCAAAACCCACCCAAGTGAAAGCAAGATCATCAACGACCATGGGCTCCAAAATTTTCAATTGGGATTATTTGTTGAAATTTTTAGGAATAAATTATTAAGACCATATCCAGTTATATATCCTAAATCTAGGTCGTGTAAAAGCAGTTTCATCCACAGCACAATTTGGAAAGCCCAACAAAGAAAATAAGTAGAAGCTGCAAATCAAAAGCACTTTGGTAAAGGAGAAGTTGTGGGAAGCCATACCTCCCCAAGTGAAGGAGCTCCTGTGGCGAAAAGTAGCGCATACAACATTGGAGCAGTTGTTACTGCTTGGAAAAAAGAAAACATTCATATGGTCATATGTTACTTTGGGCACCCTCAGCTTCTTATTAGACATCATATTTTCCATCTCCAAAAACTATGAATTGGTGATACCATTTGGTCTATTTGTTGGGTGCCTCTTGACTGATGTTTTGAAGGAGACATTGCAAGAAGTGGTTCCCGGGTCCGAGGAGAATGTCAATGGGATAGTAGTTTGTTTTGCCAGAAATAATGGAGGGATGGAGTGGTGTGCTAGGTTTTGGATCATTGGGTGTAGCAATAGAAACATCGAATGTTATTTTCTTATTTATTTATTAAAGGTTAAACTTAAAAGTTTAGTGAATAAAACTTTTTAGTTGGGTATAGAGATAAGAGAACTAGGTCTAAATAAATTTTTTCTTTAAATAAACTCACTTAAAAGAAACATGGAGGAGTCTGCTGAGCTCAATTAAACTCCATTTATTTATAATTCTTTTAAAATCATTTAAAATCTTAATCGAATAAACCGCTTTAATGGTTCTTCTACTTTCTTTATACCCCTGTTTCTTTTTGTTGGCATTGCTCCGTACAATAGCTTAGCCGCATTCCTTGCCTATGCGTTACACCCCAACATGGGCTTGGTGCACCCCACCAAAATCTAATTTGAAATTTGCAGTTCCAAGCCCAGTGGCCTTTTGCTTCAAGTCTGTAATCTAAACACCAACAAGGCACCAGTAAATCTGTTTTCCCAAGTGCAATTATATTGACATGGAATTTAAGCAAATAATAATAGTGTGTAATTTTGTATCGAGTAAAAATAGGTATTCTCATTGATTGAAGTAGTAGTAGGTACTTTTTACATACGTATTTTATAATAAATTTAATTCAAACAAATATAAAATTAACCACATAAGCTCTTGCTAGACACCTAGCCGCTAAGCACTTGGCCGTGTACATATCACTTAAGATATTTAATATTCCACAAATTTCATTCTAAATTTCTCACAAATGTATTTTTTTTTTTAATTATAAAAATTAGAATAAATTTTTTAAAGTACCAATAGCAATTCTCTCTTATTTATACAAAAATAATATCATTATTCACGAGTAACCAACCATGGAAATTATTTTTCTGCTTCTAGAGGATAATGATTTTCACACACTATTTTTCTGCTTCTACACCCCTTTTATATTTTTCACAAGCCAAACAAGAGTATATAAATTGATGCCATAGCATACCACCACTAAATTGATGTCTCCAAATGTGTCAAAAACTTAACCACAACCGCTCGAGGGACAGGCTGCGGAACAGGGCCTGATTGCCCGAGGGAGGAAGTCCAGCGTTGGCTAGCGAGCAAGCTCGAGCAGGCCCGAGCTCCAGGCCCGTGGATTCATGCAGACCCGAGCTCCCGAAGCCCACGTCAGACGCCTACCAAGTGAATCGGAAGGCCACAAGATGACTGTACGACCTCCTAAACATCGTCATCGTCGTCCTCTTCTTCGTCATCATTGTCCTCTTCGTCCTCATCCGCGTCGTCGTCCTCCTCCTCTTCGTCTACGCTATTGTCGGATTCAAACTCCAACTGGGACTGCAACTCATACAGCTCCAATTGCTCGGCGGTCAAAGGCTTAACTTTGTTTTCCTCCACAACTTCCTCCATAGCCTTCATCCTCTCAAAGCTCACACAAATTTGCAGAGAAAATCTCCTCTTCGTATTCTTGAGAAAACGAATTGCGATAGGATTTGGGAGAGTGAATGAGATATAGGGAGGACGAGAAAGGAGCTGCCAATTGGGATTGGATTACAAATAAAATTATTTTATATTATTTTATAAATAAATAAAATACTAATATTTTATTACCAATTGCCAGTGCTATTCAAATGCAACGGTAGAGATGTAGAAGATGATTACTATTTATTAATGGCAGTTACTGTTCATTAGGTGGATTAAATAGAGAATAGCCTGGAGGAAGGGCTCCCACGCTGGAAGTGCTCTTAACATTTAATTGCAATACGATTCCACAACGAACAGAACAAAAGGGAAGGTCTATGAGAGCCTTGACATGTGAAGCATAAACCACCACTTTCAATATTCTACTCAATGCCGACGCCAAACCCACCTAATACAGCTCACTTTCCTTGTGAGTGTGAATCACAAGGTCTGAAGTCGGGTACGAGACACAAGTCAGCACATAACCCTCCTTCATTTGATTGTCGTCGAGGAATGAACCATCGGACTGATCCACTGAACCTGACGCCAGCTTCCCCGCACAGGTCGAGCATGCCCCAGCCCTGCAAGAATATGGCAGCTCAACTCCAGCATTCTCAGCTGCATCTAAGATGTAACAATCATCCGCCGCCTCAAATTCGTTCTCCACGCCATCTGGTCCAATCAGTTTAACCTTGTATACTTCCATTGATGCCCGGGAGTTGGAGGATGCTTTCAAGCCAAAGGACTTTGAGATATTCTTCACAGATCCAAGAGGAGGAGATAACTTCACAATTGAACTGGTGAACCGCTTTTGGGGCACATGTCTGAACATGCATTGGGAGGGAACTTGTACGGTTGTCATGGCTGACATGTTTAGCCCTGAACTCATACACCAGTGAAGAAGAAAATTAGTAAAAGCAAAGAAAAGAATGGTGAATCAACATAATGATCATGAACAATTCTGACAAGTAAAATCGAGTTAATGACAATATCAAATGATGGATAAGGCCTTTAAGCACCATTATAACAACAAGGAATTCACACAGAACAGAACTTTGATCATAGAGTGTAGAGTTTATTATCCAATATCAACTAACAGCAAAGTAAATGCATATATAAAAGATGAAACAAATTAAACTATTCAAACACCTAATCAGCCGCAGCCCTCAACACCTATACCGCTACCCATAGCTTGGATGCGTTACTGATTAGCATTATACAACACTACCCGCTCTTGAATTTCAGACCGTCACTCCAACCACCCCGACTGAACAAGATACTTGCAGTTAACAGAATTACTTGTAGACACGGAACAATCATAAAAGGATGAAACCAAACCATCCCCTGTGAAAGACAGCAAGGGAATCAATGTCCGGTGCACTATGAGAAGAAGCAAGCTCACTCGAGGCTCCGTTTTGGTTAACTAGCCTACGCAGGCTATTACTTTAAACCCTAGATAATATCTATACTAATTTCTAAAACTAGAAGTTGTACGAAAAGTATGCATCCACTATTCAAACAACAAACATCAACAACAAAGCCTTATCCCACTAAGTGGAGTCGGCTACATGAATCCTAGAATGCCCCTGCTTGGTTTTGTTCATAAGGATTCGACTTAAGAATGGAGTGCCGGCTGTCCCACTATTCAAACCCAGCGCTAAAAATTAAACCCACCCATCACAAGAGCTCATATGATATAAAATAACCATCAACTTCCTCATGAAAAAAGCACTCATGGGAACTCATGAAATAATTCATCACAAAAAGTAAAATTCACAATAAACCCATCAAAAACCAAAGATTATAAATAATTATACATAACACTACATGCGATTATATGATTTTGCTTTTCAGCCAGATGCCATCATTGACCATTTTTAAACATCCATAACAAAAATTTCGAAACAAAAATATTTCCACCAATTCGACACAGAAGGCAAATTAAATCAGTATTAAATTAATGGTGAAAAGGCAAATTAAAAATAAGATTAGAAATTGAACTAATACTTGATTAATTAAAGAAGCAGGTTTTAATGGCAGAATCAAATACAGAATCTTCGCTGTTTTCAACTTTCAGTATCTGCTAAGATACGATAAAAGATCATTACAGGGGCCGATCTCAGTTTCAATCTATAATTCAGCTCAAACGCAAAAACCCAAAATTATAACCCTAAAAACAAAACCCAGATTGAAAAGAACAATTACCAATTAACAGTAAACATTAAGAAGATCAAACCTCAAAAACCAAAGATCCAAACGTGACATGCAAATACAAACATGTAGAGAGAGGGAGAGACGGCTTACGCAATGAGAGGGAAGGTTTGGTGAGGAGTGATGTGAGAAGGTTGATGAGGACTGACGTGGGTGGGGATGTCTTTGATTCGGCAGAGCGGAGAAAGCGAGGCAGAGGAGTCACTGTTTATGATGACTATTTATAGACAGAGAGAGTGAAATGAATTGGTAAACGTTCTAGTTATCCGTACACTCCATAATTTTTTGTCATATCTAATGAACTAAATAGAGTTATGGATAAATTACACTTTACCACCTCAGGTTTAAAGTCAATTTCAATTTCTTAAAATGTCTTTAAAATATTTTACTTTCATACCTCAAGTATTATTTTATTTCAATATAATACATCTGTTACATTTTCCATCCATTGATCCGTTAAGTGCTAATGTGGTTGCCAAATGTCTACCACGTGGCAAAAAAAAAAATTTAATTTTTTTTAAAAAAAATCTTAATCTTCTATATTAAAAACAAAAAAAAAAGATAATAAAAATAAAAATAAAAATAAAAACCAAAAACAAAAGCTAAACCCGCAACCCCCCCTACCCACCCAACTTGCAACCCAGAAGAAGAAGAAAAGGAGAGGAAAAGAAAGAAAAAAAAAAAAACCCATCTTCATCGTCCCCGACTCCCCTTTCTTCCCCCTCCCGTCTTCCCCAAACCCACCGTGCACCCATCCTCCACCTCCTTCACCACACCCACTACCTGCAACCCAGAAAAGAAAAGAAAAGAAAAAAAAATCCATCTCCCTTTCCCTGCAACCCAAATCCCGTCTTGCCCAATAAGGAGTGGGGTGTGTAGAGGAGGGAAGAGGATGCATGCAAGGGTGGGTGCACTGGGTTTTTTTTTTCTTTTTTTCTTCTTCTTCATTCTGGGTTGCAGGTTGGGCTCGGGTTGGGGAGGAAGAAGATGGGTGCCCGGAGGAGGTGAAGGATGGGTGCAGAGGAGGTGGTGGAGGATGGGTGTGGACGGATGGAAGATGATGAGGCTCCGACCCCGAGGGAGGGGGGTTGGGGTTAAGGTTGGGGGGGATCCGGGTTTTTTCTTTTTGTTCAAGGTTTTGGGGGTGGGGTGATGGGATCTAGATTTTTAACCCTTTTTTTTAAAAAAAAATAAAAAAAAAAATTTAGAAGATTAAGGTTTTTTTTTTTTTTTTTTTTTAAAAAGTAAAAAAAAATTTTTTTTTTTTTTGCCACGTGGTAAACATTTGGCAGTCACGTCAGCACTTAACAGATCAATGGATGGAAAATGTAACGGAGGTATTATATTGAAATAAAATAGTACTTGAGGTATGAAAGTGAAATGTTTTAAAGATGTTGTAAGGAATTGAAATTGACCCCAAACCTGAGGTAGTAAAGTGTAATTTACCCCAGAATTAAAGACAAAAATAAACATATAGAGAATATGAGAAGGTGTGTGGTTACGAGGAGGATGCTAAAATACTTCTGTGAATATTATTGGCCCAAAAAAATCAGATAGTTCTAACTTCGCCACCAACTAATTCCATTAAAAAAGAAAAAACACCATCCTTATAAACAATGGCGCTATTCATACACTTGTTTTACGTTGCACACAATGCTTGTAAATTTATATTCTTTGATTTTTTTTTTAATTCATTCGATTAATGACTAAAAATTTAAAAATGTGTGAAAAATAAAAAGAAATGTGTATAGCCTACGTTATAAAATCTAGGACTCTGTTTTCATTAACAAATGTGAAAAGGATGGCGTTAGGCATATTTTGAAAGCCATTAAAGCCAAGGACACTAAAAGATCCCCGTTGCAAGGGGCCAAAAGGCCCAAACCCACACTCCTCTCTTTCTTTATTTTTCTATTACCTCAATTATTCATTTGCCCCCATTACAAAACTTGGTTGTCACTTTGTCCCATGGGTAAAGTACAGGGCACGAGTATAATATATGAAATATATATCATATATAGGGATGGGTTTAAAAAGCCGAAATAGGTAGGTTTGGTTTCGGTTTTGGTGGTCCAGAAACTAGGCCGGACCAAACCGAACTGAATTTTTATTTAATTATTTAATATATATTAATTATATAAATTTGTAACAAATACTCAAAATCTAGATGTTTCGAACCTCTGACCTCCAGGTTGAAAGTGTTTGCTTCAACCAACTTGACAACAAGATTTGTGTTGCTATAATTGTATTAGTAAAATATTTATACTGATTATGGATCTTTAATTCTTTATAAGATTTCTAAACACAAAACCCTAGCTATCCGATTTACTCCCATTTCATCTCCTCTTTCAACTGACTTATTAGCCTCTCCCTCTCCCACCGTTGAATTCTTGAACCTCCATGCTCTACTTTCTTAGTTTCTTCTTCCAAACCCCTAAGTCTCTGTATGAGCAATCCAGAGAATATCGAATCAGAGAAAACTGCAAAAGAATGCAAAAACTCGGCATCGTTGATATCTCCCTATTCAGCTCCAATCTAACTTTCAATTGACTAGATCAACGAAGAGCTATTCAGGCCCAACCATGGTGAGTTAGCCATCGAAAAAGGTACCATTCTCTTCGTCTCATCGAGTAGTATGATTTTCGTTTTTGAATCACTTGATTTCGTTGAGTATTGAAGAAGTTATGAAAGTTTAAAGTTTACCCAGTTTCCAACGAGTTTTCCAGTTTTCCCTCGGACCAGTCAACTTTGAGGCTATTTTCCGGCCATCTCTGACAACCATTGGGCTTCCAATAAGTATAATCTTATTCTACACTTTCCTATCTTCATTTTGATATATTATGGGTCAAATTTGGTTAAGAAACGATTGAGTTACGAAGCTTTGAAAATTGCCCAAACTTCCGGCCAAGAGCTCTGGGACACTTAATGGAGTTTTTAACGGAATGACCAAAATGATGGATGGTTTACAATCTCAAGGACCATTTCTACTGATTTGAAATCTTAGGGACCAAAGTGATGTGTTATACAAATCTCAGGGACCATTTTGGTGATTTAGCCTTTTTTATTTTGTTTGTTGTTTTGCTGCCTGTTTTGCACACTTAAATGCCCATTTTGCCCCTTATTGCCACACATTGATCATCTTTTGTTAGTGAGCTTCGATTCCGCTCTCTTCACTTTACCTTCCTATTTATCTTTTGTCTCTCGCAAGCTTTTCCTCCTCTCTGTCTTTGTCTCGCTCTCTCCGTGTTTGATCCTCTATCTTTTTTTGGGTAAAACATTTGGTTACATCGTTTTATCCTGATTTTGCAATCGTCAGGGAAAGAATTTCAGGGTGTTGGTCTCTGTTATCATCAGCGTTCCCGGAGTTGGGACTGGCTTTCCAACGAATTTTTGTCACTTTAGCGGTGGCGCGGTTTGAGTTTGTTGTCTAAGAAGTCGAATTCAACTCAGGTATGTTAGCTGTATGTAAGTTTGTGTTTCTAATTTGTGTTGTTTGGAGGAAACCTTAAAAATTTTGTTATGTGGTGAGTTGTAGTGTTTTGTTCAAAATTTGTGGGCTAGGGCGTATTTTGTGTTTTCCTTCCTCCACTGAGAAGTTTGTGAAATTGCAAGGGTTGGAACACCACTATTGGTTTGGGTATGCTCTCTCTAGCTCCACTTATGTTTGATTCTATTTTCCTTTCTTATTTGGATTAGTGGAATTTTGGGTTTTCTTTTTTATGTTTAATTTTCTATAATTTTATTTGGTTCGATTTAGGGTTTTCAGAAGAAAGACATTTATTATGTAATCTATTAGAAACCTAGATGGACCGATGATGCATAGGAGATTCGTGATAGCGATTTTACCACTTGTAAAACAAGGGTTAAACCATAGAAAATTCTTGCAAGAGAACAAGTGTTTGTAGTATAGAATGGCTCAAACAAGGTCGATCTCCTCAGGGACTAATATAAACAATTTACGAGTTTTTGTGTATTTAACTTAGTTAACTCTAAGAACTACACTAATTCAATGAAACTAAATACTACTATACATGACTTCAACAAATATCTAAAATGGGAATTGGTTTATAGGAATAGTGATCCAACTAAACAACACAAGTAAATATAGAAACTCAAGATAATACAAATAATTAAAGAAAATTAAATTGACAAGGCACTAGAGTTCAACCTTTACCAACAACACTCCTACATAGCTCTTCCAATTGCTTAAGTAATTGAAAACACACATGCTTTGAAGGTTGGGTTTTCCTTATGTATGTTTTACTTGTGACATCCAAGCTAAAACGCATACCACTACATGAAATTTATCCATGACATTTGGATTAAATATAAACATGAGTGATTCATTAATCTTGGTGAAAATCCTTTTGTTAAACCATGTAATCCCTAAAAGTATGATATTTACCTTAGGAGAAATTACGATCCTCAATCACAAGAAGCATAACCATTTTAATGTGGCATTCGTTCAAAATTGCATCCGATTACTTTTCTAAATATCTTAATGGTAATCAAGTATCAAGGCACATAGATAGTTTAATTTAATGATTAAAAATATCAAAGCAAGCATGTAACAACACTTAAGCAATTGAAAGAGAATCTACGTAATCATGTTGAGAATTATGGCCTCACTCTAGAAAAAGGAAATTAGTTACATATACTTGTTTTAATACATAAGGAATCATCCATTAAAAATCAAAGAAAGAAAACAGCCATTTTTTACAAGAATTATTCCCGCTAAACTCTCCGATCTTCTCCTCCTTGAAGAGAGGAGCATGCTTCTTTTTTTCAATTTGGAGCTGCGACCCCCCTTTTTCTTCCTGCTCCCTGCTCTCGCTTTGTTTTCTCCCGATTTTGCTCTCTCTGCCATGTTCTGCACTCTCTACAGAAAACTCCAATCAGTCTATTCCTCTTTTGGCCTGCTTTCTGTTCCCGTGTGTTGATTATTTTATTAGTCAATGGAGTGGGCAGTTGTGCTCTCCACTTTCTCCTCTCGGCTTTTCTTTTGCTCCAAAGGCTAGTGAGTGCAATTAAAACCCACTTTTGTGCCAAGTGTTGATGACAAAGCAAAGCACAAGGTGCATTTACGTTCTTATTTTATTAGTTACAGTGGGCAGAATTGGCCATAACTTTTGGTAGACCAAAAGTCCTTAGATTTCAATGAATGAGATGTCCTTAGAAAGCACGAAACGTCTACTTTCGTCATTCTCAAACGAGGAACAATTGGTTGGCAATTTTTTTTTTTTTTTTTTTTTTG